CAGTGCAGCTTCTTGCCACTAGGCCACCAGTGCTCCCTAGAAAATGAAATTTAAAGTGCTCCTGACCAGGTATGGGTGAGAGTAACTGCTCGTGTAATCATAAAGCTCTCCTGTACTGAGACACCATACTGGCAGCTGTCTTTAGGAAAATGTACAGAAATGAAGCTGGTTCACTAAGTGCCACGTTATCAGATCTATTACATGATAGGACGGAGGAAAAATAAAGTCTTGTGTCACAGGAGAAAAAATAAAACCTTGATTTAGTAAAAAAAAAAGGAGATCTGATTCCTTTTTCAGTTTGGTCACTATCGTCATTTGATCTCATTCCCTTTAAAACCATTATGATCTGGAGAGGAGATGTCTGTAAAATTACAAGAGAAAACCTTTTTAGAAGAGAGTGATAATGCAAATCCAGGTTTACTGCGGCTTTGTTCACAACAGCAAAGCGTTGGGAACAACCCAAGTGCCCATCAACAAACACATTGGACAGAGGAGCTGTGGTATAGTCACACAGTGGAATACTATACAGCACTGAAAAACAAAGAACTCGTGAAAGATTATACAAAATGCATGACCTTTGAGGACAGCATTCTGAGTGAAATCTCTCAGTAACAAAAAAAACACATACTGCAGAGTGCCATTGTTGTAAAGTGGGACTGACATTGGGGGTGGAGGGGCACCTAAGAAAAGAGGGGATAAATAATGTATACTGCATTGAAACAGATGAGGGAGAGAACTGTTTAAAAGGGACATGTGAATGGGTATTCTTGTCATTACAGAAGTCCAGTAGTAAAGCAGCACAGTGGAGTGGACTGGGGAGGGGGGAAGATTGTATAACAATGAAAGAATTTTTTGACTTTTCAAATAGAAAAGTGAACAGGGGATGAGGGGTGGGAAGGGAGCAAAGTGTGCAACAATGAATGTATGGAAACCACTCTGTAAACTTTCATTCAAATAAAATAGAGAGTGATAGTGAATCTGATACAAAGGAGGATGAATATCTTCTACCTCCAACTCCAGAAGAATTGAGCAATATAATCCAAAATGACAGTCCTTATGAGAAATTAGCTAAACAAGTTCCAGAACTTTCTAAAAAAAGAATCAAATTGGGCTCTAATCATGAAATATAGTACCAAAATAAAAATACAGGTCCATCAGCAGCAGCCGTTTCAGATTTTATATAAATATAGATATATAGAGAATGGAAATTA